CAGTTTGCTGTGACCATTTAAAATCTGCTTGCAGCCTAGGTAGATGAACTCATCAAACACTCTCCATGGTACTTGACTCCACCTGCACCAGGGTTTCTGGTGTCCCAGCTCTGAGGTTTTGGACCCTGGTCTTCTGCCATAAGATGTTCAACCCTGGCATCTTGGAGACCTTGGACAGTGGGACTGAAAATCTCCGACTTCTCCAAATGCACGGTAGCATTATCAGTGTAGTCTTGGTCGGTAAACACTTCTTGACCAACTGTGATTGCGACATGGGGACTGGCAAATTTTAATATCCAGTCGATAGCTTGACAAAACAATGTCAGGGAAAGACTGAATCTTTGCTGCACACCTGAGTTTGTGTAGAAACACGGCAAAAGCCATGAACCAGTGCACACGCTCGCACTGGTACTGGTTTGAAGATCGCACACCAGATTTAGCAGAATATTTGGAATACCAGTTACTTTAAGTGTGAGCCAAAGTGCTGACCTGTTGACTCAATCAGAAGCCGCTTTGATGTCTATATATGCCACATGAAACTGGTAATTAAATTCTCAGTGCAGCCCTGCCAGAAGCTGGAGAGTAAGAAACATTGTTGACTGCCCTGTAGTGAAACCTGATTGCTGTAGGTGACAAAGTCTGTTAAGAAGCAGCTGCAGCCTACCAAGCAGAATGTGAGCAAAGACCTTTCCAGGGCTGGATACAATGAGATCATATTACTGTAGCTGCCACACTTAATGAGAGATTCTTTGCCCTGGTGTGACCAGGGTCCCAGTGGGGGCCAGCCGAGGTCACTCAGTTTGGGTGAACTGCAAAGAAAGGGCATACAATCCCCAAAAAGCTGGTGGATATTACAATACTTAGATTTACCAAGCATAAAATAGCTTCTTTATTACCTTACTGGTCACTCAGAAGTCCAAACAACACAGTGATCCAGCCTTAGGCCTCCATCCAGGTACCTAAGTCAAATATGATGAAAATTCCTGAAAATCTTATTTCATCATATAAAAGAAAAGGTTCTACAAATCCCAAAGGATCGGACACATTACCTCCAATGTTATTGAATATTCCAGATCTTACCCAAATACATGCTGCAGCCAATTCTTATTAACTAAAAGGTGAACATAGACAGGGACTGTTGATTATATTATTGACCCTGCTCTCTCTCTCTCTATATATATATATACACACAAAAAAACACAAACATTATCTCCCCACATGTCTTTTGAGGATTATTTATTTTTCAGGGTGTTTAACCCTTTCTGGCCATGCATCACAAACTGCCACACTTAATGAGAGATTCTTTGCCCTTGTTCAGGGACACTATGATACCATCTTTCCATTCTGCTGGTTCTTTGCCTGATGACTTCACTTTTGAGTACAGCTGATGCAGGCCGATGCTCATTGATTCCAAGGCATCTTTGAGCAGGTTGGGTGGAATACCATCAGGTCCAGTGGTATATCCATTCCATAACTTTTGAGTGGCCTTTCATACTACTTAGAGTGACAGAGGATCAGTGTTTGTCCCTGGATCTGCAGCTGTGCAGTTTGCCAGGTCACGTAGCGCTAGACATTCATCAGCAGGTCTATGGTTCAGCATGCCTTTATAATGTGTTTTCCATCTGTCCAGGACCTCATCTGTCAATGAGCTGGGAGAGCCGTCTGGTTTCATAATGAGGATGTTAGAAGGCTGTTTATGGCTGCCAGCCAGGCACGTGATAGCTCTGTAGGCAGGATGCAGATTGTTGTACTTTAGCCTATCCTCTGCTTCATCAGCCAGGGAGTTGATGTAGCTGTAAGATTTCACAGTCATGTTTTTGCCACGGCCCAGAAAATGCGTTTCAGCCATTTACATTCTTGGACATCTCCCTGCTTGCATGCATCTGCCTTTTTTGCTCACGTAACAAAGGCCACTTCAGAAAGCCGAGGCTTCTTGCCCAACCATTTGAAGCCAATTGTTCCAGAGGCAACATGTGATATAGTGTTACATATACCACTCCAGGTGATCTCCCTGTCATCCAAAAGGATACCAGGGTTACTTATCTGATCCCTGATGCCCTGTGTGTATTGCATGACTACAACAGGATCCTCAGAAAGATGATGGACTTTGTACTGTTGGTGAACATCTGGCTTGTGAGAAGTTGGAAGAGCCAGCAAGAGCTGAGTGAAAACTAGTCTATGGTCTGAGTTTGCTGGTGCTTCTGCACTGCCAAAGATCCGGTGAGAATTCACTGTGGAGCCATTTCTGACAAGCATGTGGTGCATTTCCTTCATGACATATCTACTGTTTGGAATCGAGATCCAGTGGTGGTTTTTAAGGTGCCTAAACCAGAAGCCCATAACAAACAAGCCCTTGGCAGCACAAAATGTCAAAAGCTGGGTGGTGAGGTCACTTGGGAAACCCAAATCAAAGGGACCTTTCACAGTTTCGTCCCAGTTTGATCACAGCCAGTCACAGCATTGAAATCTCTGAGCACCAGCAGCATGCCATGAGGCAGAGTTGTTATAATGTTGAATTGGAATTAATTTGCAAACTGGATACAATTAACTGAGGCTTGAATAAAGATGGGGAGTGGATGTGTCATTACACAAAGTAACACTATTTCCCCATGTTTATCCCCCCCCCCCCGCAGTTCCTCACACATTTCTTGTCAACTGCTAGAAATGGCCCACCTTGATTATCACTACAAAAGGTTTCCCCCCTTTCCCCCCGCCCGCTGGTAATAGCTCACCTCACCTGATCACTCTTGTTACAGTGTGTATGGTAACACCCATTGTTTCATGTTCTCTGGGTATATAAAATCTCCCCACTGTATTTCCCAATGAATGCTTCCGATGAAGTGAGCTGTAGCTCACGAAAGCTTATGCTCAAATAAATTTGTTAGTCTCTAAGGTGCCACAAGTACTCCTTTTCTATATGCAAATGTACATCAGCTATTGATGCATAGCAGAAATAAATTTGGATGTGAAATTGAAGAGCAGTCTAATGAATTCACAATCACAAAATCTGAAAATACAGGGAAATTGGAAATGCCACAGCTGTCACTTTAATTTGCCATGTACATTGTTGGTTTCCAACCAAAATAAATGTACTGTAGAAACAAAAATCTTAAATGTCTCTCTTCCCCCTCTCCCCATCCTCTTTCTACATCTCATCTGTCAAAGCTAGAAGCAATAACCACAGAGATATTTTGCCCCAAAGGAGAACAACAATTGTAGGCGCACTTAGCGGAAACTTTTAGGTACTGCTATGATTTACTGCCTATCTGCCAATTTGCATGACATTACCAATAGATATTATGTTTTTGTTTTCATTGTTTGTATTTTCTGAAGCTCAGCAGAACCCAATTACCTAGAAGGAAAGGATTTCATATTTGCACAAAGTGTGCATTTGGCTGAAATTAACGATACATTAACTGTAAATCGTAATTTTGTAAAATTTAATTCCTTCAAGATCATTATTGGTCATTCAGTAACATTTGGGGCTTTTTCAAATAGTATTAAAACAACAACATTACCTTTGTCCTACCTTGAACTGTTTGTGCCATTATAACCCGCCTATGAGTGTATATTACAGGTCCTTGTCTGTTCCAATCTATAGGGGATGTTAAGTTTGTTACTGCACTAAGAAGAAAGCCTTGGTTCTTTAGCTCAGGCTATAACAGCTCACATTTTAGTTTTGGAAATCGTCAGTTCAGTTCCTGGTGCATTGACAAAGTGTTGGCTGTCATGCTACTCCTGCAGCCTCCATCCATTGACTGAAACATTGTTTGTTAGTTGTAGACTCACATGGTGCAGAGTAAAACTGTAATCTAAACATTTGGAACACTTTTGGGTGTGTCTGAAAGGTGACTTGCAAGCATGCTAGGAGCACCAAACAGCTCTGTGAATGGTGCGTTTCTGTAGTATGCGCAAGGGAGGGAGAACGCACACCTGACTCCACTTCTTTTCACAGCTGAACTGTTCTAAAACAGATATGGATCCGACGAAGTGATGCCGCTCTTCTAAACCTGTGGTGCACAATTTTCATTGTAGCCCTGTGGCAAAGTGCCCAGTGATCCACCTCTCTTTATCAAACCTAACATCTTGAAAATATGGCAGCCTGGATTTGGTTTGTACAGCCACACAGGGAAATAAAAGAAAAATATAGCCCTTGTACCAATATGAGGGTATGTCTACACTGCAATTAAACACTTGTGACTGGCCCATGCCAGCTGACTCAGGCTTGTGGGGCTCATGGGCTGTTTAATTGTGGAGTAGATGTTTGGGCTTGGGTTGGAGCCTGGGCTCCAGAGCTCTGCAAGGTGGGAGGGTCTCAGAACTTGGGCTGTAGCTCGAGCCCCAACATATACACTGCAGTTAAGCAGCCCTTGAGCCTCGCAAGCCCAAGTCAGCTGGCATGGGCCAGGCACAAGTGTTTAATTGCAGTGTAGACATACCCCAAGACAGCTGTTCTCAACTGGGGGTCTGTGAGCTCTTTTAGGGGGGCCATGGAGCCCCTGTGCCACCCTACAGGGCTGAAGCTGGGAGCCCTGAGCCCTGGCTCCCCTGCAGGGCTGAAGCCCTGGTGCCCCCCACACCCCATGGGGCTCCATGGCACTGAATCCTGGAGCCCTGAGTCCTGATGCTCTCCACGGGGCAGAAGCCCTGAGACCCTGGGTGGAGTTGGGGAGACAGGGTGCATTTCCCCTTCAAACTGCAGTGCTTTACCCAGAGCCAGGCTCCACACAACCCTCACCTCCTCCCCTTCTCCTGCCCCCGAGGCCCGCTCCCTGGCTAGGTTTATAAAATCATAGAATATCTGGGTTGGAAGGGACCTCAGGAGGTCATCTAGTCCAATCCCCACATTTTTTTTGGCCCAGATCCCTAAATGGCCCCCTCCCGGATTGAGCTCACAACCCTGAGTTTAGCAGGCCAATGCTCAAACCACTGAGCTATGCCTCCCCAACCCAGAAAGGAAAAAAAGAGAGAGACTTTTAAGATCTTGGGAAACAGTTCATCACCTGACCAGGGAATTGAATCCTGGACCCTCAGATTAAAAGTCTGATGCTCTACCAACTGAGCTATCCAGGCTCACAAGGTTGGAGGTGGGAAGCTAGAGTGGGGCAGTGCAGGGCAGCTGCTGCTCTGGCTGATGCTATGGAGCAGGCAACCCCCCGCATCTTCTCCTGCTGGTGGTGCCCAGGGTTGCAGCTGCTCCTCAGCTCCCAGCCCCCTTTGATTGTTCACACAGCCAGTAAGAGTTGGCCAGGTGGTGGGGGGGACCCATCTCGGGGGCTGGCAGAACCCTCAGGGAGCAGCGACCACACAGGGACCACAGCCCCTAGCTAGCCCTTCCCTTCATCCTGAGCTACCCCCCTTGACCATAAACTGCCCTAGCTACCACCTCCCTGCACCCTGAGCTACACCCCTGCCCGCACACAGCCCCTAGCTACCACCTCCCTACGCCCTGAGCTATGCCCCTGCCCTCACACCCCCTACCTACCACCTCTAACTACCCTCCTCGCTGCAACCTGAGCTACCCCCTGCCAGTACACAGCCCCCAGTTATCCCTCCCTGCAACATGAGCTGTTCTCAAACTTTTTGAGCTGAGCCACCTCCCCCTTTGAGTTATAATTTTTGGTTGCCCCCCGCCCCCAACCCAGATAGGCTGTGTGGATTGTTGAGGTGAGGCGGGGATGAAGGTGACACTCACTCCCCGGGCCCCAATGTCTGGAGTTGGCCCATGCCCTGCCGGCCCCTGCCCCCACAAAATAGAAGTCAAACTATGCCTATGCCTGAGGCCACCCCCCGAGGCCACCCCCGGCCTGGAGCCTCGAGGGCCCCCTCCTCCCTGCTGGGCTCTGGAGTTTTTATAGCATGTTGGAGGTGCGGGGGGGGGGGGGGGGCTCAGAAAAGAAAAGATTGAGAATTCTGCCCTAAGAGACCTGGCCTACTGCACCAGTGGGAACTCACATAAACCAGAAATGCCAGACTATTTTAAAGCTTGATTGTGTTTTTAGATCTGTGTGCATGCCTGAGCCCTGGTCTACACTAGGAGTTTAGGTCGAATTTAGCAGCGTTAAATCGATGTAAACCTGCACCCGTCCACACGATGAAGCCCTTTTTTTCGACTTAAAGGGCTCTTAAAATCGATTTCCTTAATCCACCTCTGACAAGTGGATTAGTGCTTAAATCGGCCTTGCCAGGTCGAATTTGGGGTACTGTGGACGCAATAAGATGGTATTGGCCTCCAGGAGCTATCCCAGAGTGCTCTATTGTGACCGCTCTGGACAGCACTCTCAACTCAGATGCACTGGCCAGGTAGACAGGAAAAGGCCCGCAAACTTTTGAATTTCAATTTCCTGTTTGCATGGTCACCTGCAGCTTGCGATGCTGGCCAGAGCTCATCAGCAGAGGTGACCATGATGGAGTCCCAGAATCGCAAAAGAGCTCCAGCATGGACCGAACGGGAGGTACGGGATCTGATCGCTGTATGGGGAGAGGAATCCGTGCTATCAGAACTCCGTTCCAGTTTTCGAAATGCCAAAACATTTGTCAAAATCTCCCAGGGCATGAAGGACAGAGGCCATAACAGGGACCCGAAGCAATGCCACGTGAAACTTAAGGAGCTGAGACAAGCCTACCAGAAAACCAGAGAGGCAAACAGCTGCTCCAGGTCAGAGCCCCAAACATGCCTCTTCTATGATGAGCTGCATGCCATTTTAGGGGGTTCAGCCACCACTATCCCAGACGTGTTGTTTGACTCCTTCAATGGAGGCAACACAGAAGCAGGTTTTGGGGACGAGGAAGATGATGATGAGGTTGTAGATAGCTCACAGCAAGCAAGTGGAGAAACCGGTTTTCCCAACAGCCAGGAACTGTTTCTCACCCTGGACTTGGAGGCAGTCCCCCCCGGACCCACCCAAGGCTGCCTCCCGGACCCGCCAGGCGGAGAAGGGACCTCTGGTGAGTGTACCTTTTAAAATACTATACATGGTTTAAAAGCAAGCATGTTTAATGATTAATTTGCCCTGGCATTTGCGGCTCTCCTGGATGTACTCCCAAAGCCTTTGCAAAAGGTTTCTGGGGAGGGCAGCCTTATTCCACCCACCATGGTAGGACACTTTACCACACCAGGCCAGTAGCACGTACTCGGGAATCATTTAGAACAAAGCATTGCAGTGTTTGTTTGCTGGCATTCAAACAACATCCATTCTTTATCTCTTTGTGTTATCCTCAGGAGAGTGATATCATTCATGGTCACCTGGTTGAAATAGGGTGCTTTTCTTAAGGGGACATGCAGAGGTGCCCGTTCCTGCTGGGCTGTTTGCCTGTGGCTGAACAGAAATGTTCCCCGCTGTTAGCCGGGGGGCGGGGAGAGGTGAGGGGCTAGCCACGTGTTGGGGGGAGGCAAAATGCGACCTTGGAACGAAAGCACATGTGCTGTGTATGTAATGTTAACAACAAGGTTTACCGTGAAAGAGTGTACCCATTGTTCTATAAAATGTGTCTTTTTAAATACCACTGTCCCTTTTTTTTTCTCCACCAGCTGCATGTGTTTCAATGATCACAGGATCTTCTCCTTCCCAGAGGCTAGTGAAGATTAGAAGGCGAAAAAAACGCACTCGTGATGAAATGTTCTCTGAGCTCATGGTGTCCTCCCACACTGTCAGAGCACAGACGAATGCATGGAGGCAGACAATGTCAGAGTGCAGGAAAGCACAATATGACCGGGAGGAGAGGTGGCGGGCTGAAAAGAGTAAGAGGCGGGCTGAAGAGAGGGCTGAAGCTGAAAGGTGGCAGCAGCATGATGAGAGGAGGCAGGATTCAATGCTGAGGCTGCTGGAGGATCAAACCAATATGCTCCAGCGTATGGTTGAGCTGCAGGAAAGGCAGCAGGAGCACAGACTGCCGCTACAGCTCCTGTGTAACCAACCACCCTCCTCCCCAAGTTCCATAGCCTCCTCACCCAGACGCCCAAGAACGCGGTGGGGGGCCCTCCGGCCACCCAGCCACTCCACCCCAGAGGATTGCCCAAGCAACAGAAGGCTGGCATTCAATAAGTTTTAAAGTTTTAAACTTTTAAAGTGCTGTGTGGCCTTGTCCTTCCCTCCTCCACCACCCCTCCTGGTGCTTCTCTCCTCCACCACCCCTCCTGGGCTACCTTGGTAGTTATCCCCCTATTTGTCTGATGAATGAATAAAGAATCCATGAATGTGAAGCAACAATGACTTTATTGCCTCTGCAAGCGGTGATTGAAGGGAGGAAGGGAGGGTGCTTAGCTTACAGGGAAGTAGAGTGAACCAAGGGGCGGTGGGTTTCATCATGGAGAAACAAACAGAACTTTCACACCGTAGCCTGGCCAGTCATGAAACCGGTTTTCAAAGCTTCTCTGATGCACACAGCGCCCTCCTGTGCTCTTCTAACCACCCTGGCGTCTGGCTGTGCGAAACCAGCAGCCAGGCGATTTGCCTCAACCTCCCACCCCACCATAAACGTCTCCCCCTTACTCTCACAGATATTATGGAGCGCACAGCAAGCAGTAATAACAGTGGGAATATTGGTTTCGCTGAGGTCTAACTGAGTCAGTAAACTGCACCAGCGTGCTTTTAAACGTCCAAATGCACATTCTACCACCATTCTGCACTTGCTCAGTCTGTAGTTGAACAGCTCCTGACTACTGTCCAGGCTGCCTGTGTATGGCTTCATAAGCCATGGCATTAAGGGGTAGGCTGGGTCCCCAAGGATACATATAGGCATTTCAACCTCCCCAATGGTTATTTTCTGGTCTGGGAATAAAGTCCCTTCTTGCAGCTTTTGAAACAGACCAGAATTCCTGAAGATGCGAGCGTCATGTACCTTTCCCAGCCATCCCACGTTGATGTTGGTGAAACGTCCCTTGTGATCCACCAGTGCTTGCAGCACTACTGAAAAGTACCCCTTGCAGTTTATGTACTCGCCAGCTTGGTGCTCCGGTGCTAAGATAGGGATATGGGTTCTGTCTATGGCCCCACCACAGTTAGGGAATCCCATTGCAGCAAAGCCATCCATTATGACCTGCACATTTCCCAGGGTCACTACCCTTGATATCAGCAGATTTTTGATTGCATTGGCTACTTGCATCACAGCAGCTCCCACAGTAGATTTGCCCACTCCAAATTGATTCCCGACTGACCGGTAGGTGTCTGGTGTTGCAAGCTTCCACAGGGCTATTGCCACTCGTTTCTCAACTGTGAGGGCTGCTCTCATCTTGGTATTCTTGCGCCTCAGGGCAGGGGAAAGCAAGTCACAAAGTTCCATGAAAGTGCCCTTACGCATGCGAAAGTTTCGCAACCACTGGGAATCATCCCAGACCTGCAACACTATGTGGTCCCACCAGTCTGTGCTTGTTTCCCGAGCCCAGAATCGGCGTTCCACCATATGAACCTAGCCCATTAGCACCATGATGCCCACATTGCCAGGGCCCCTGCTTTGAGAGCAGTCTGTGTCCATGTTCTCATCACTCACGTTACCGCGCTGACGTCGCCTACTCGCCTGGTATCACTTTGCCAGGTTCTGGTGCTGCATATACTGCTGGATAATGCGCGTGGTGATTAATGTGCTCCTAATTGCCAAAGTGATCTGAGCGGGCTCCATGCTTGCTGTGGTATGGCGTCTACACAGAAAAAAGGCGCGGAACGATTGTCTGCCGTTGCCCTGACGGAGGGAGGGGCGACTGACGACATGGCTTACAGGGTTGTCTTACAGGGAATTAAAATCAACAAAGGGGGTGGCTTTGTGAGAAACTGAATGGCCCCCTCAAGGACAGAACTCAAAACCTGAAGGATAGAACTCAAAACTGGGTTTGGCAGGCGGTTGATTTCACAGAGGGAAGGAGGGAGGGAGGAGAAAATGAATACAAAACAAATCTGGTCTATTTCTTGTTTTGAGCCACTTCATCTATCTTTATACATCTTGCTGGCAGCAGACTGTGCAGTACTACCGCTAGTCATCATCATCTTCTGGGTGCTTGGCAGAAGACGGTGCAATATGACGACTAGCCATCATCTTCTGCTGGCTGGAGGTTAAAAGACAGTGCACTGCCGGTAGGA